ATCCAACCGCATTGGAGAATAGCCTACTTGCTTCCCCAGGGTAACAACACTTCCAAAAGGGCAGAAAAGACCGGCAGGAAATCTTGAGTAGTAGATTCAGGCTGATGCTCTCTGACAATCTGTTGCTTCAACACATCTCCTTTACAGGTGGCTGACTTCTCCATCCTTCGTCTGCTCTGACTGGATGCAAGTTTGGAAACCAAGGAGGGAGGAAAAAGAGGGGGTCTTTTTTCCTCTCTGCTCTATTGTTAGTACACGAAAAGGGTCATAACTTGGAAAATCCTCTACAACTTTACTAGAAATGCAAAAATTGTAAACAAAGAGGTTTCCACAAGAAATTGGAATAGGCACTCAAGAAATTGTAACACAAAAGACTGCACAACTGCAAGTAAAAACAGGAAACAGTCTTAAAAACTGGCTTTACTATTGCTTCAATACTTCAAGGTCTGAATATATTAAGAATTATTCCCAAAGCAAAAAAATTCAACATTAGCCATGTGCATAAGCAAAATCACTTTGTACCTTCTGGAGCTATCTCACAGCTTCATACCACACAAACTGCTTCCGACAGTAATGGAGCACATATTTCAACAAAGTACATTTGTATTTCCTTCGCCTTCTTTGACTAAAGGCCTACTAAAGTCAGTCTTCAACCTCAAGTGGTGCAATAATCCTTTCAGTCCACCTTCAAAACTCCTAGAAGACCTCAAGATCTGCTGCCTGTGTAAGCTTTCAGCCTTCTATACTCTGATACTCCTATTATTAGGGGTCACATCCTATGTCCATTCCTACCCTGACTACCTGTGCACTCACGTGGGCTAAAAGGCAAGTACCTGTCTATGGGCAATTTGCTTCCACCTGAGGGAAGGAGTCGAGTAGGAGGGATGTCAAATCTAAGCTTGGAAAGGGGTGACAGAACACAAAATCAGTTTGAGACCGACAAGCAGAGGTGTCGGGAAACATCTGGGAGACATGATGATGAAAAACATGGAGAGGAAGGCACCAGAAAACACACAACTGTGCAATCCCACCAGCAGGTGCTGGGGTATGCAAGTAGGTTAATTTCTTAATCCCTTGCTTGAAATACTTAACAGAAATTCAGGAGTATAGTCCTCCATTAAAACACCATATTGTATTACGCAAATCACCCAGAACAAATGTATGATTATCACATACTTTCATTAGGCTAAATAAAAAGTCTGTATTCAGCAGAAAAATTTTAGCAGTACATTCAAAATTACAGGTAACAAAACTAGTACTAGAGTTGAATTAATCTAATGCAGTGGTCAAATTTTCTTCCTCCTAAACAGTGTCAAATGCACATAGTTAAGATTTGAGTAAAGGTCAAAATCCAAGAATTTTACAGATTGGGAAAGTAAATCTGGCTAGAGGTATACACACAAGCCTACCTTGTATCTTTTGATGGGTCAAAACTAACTTCAGTTGGACAATTTTGTATCATACACAATTGACAAATGTCCTGTGTATCTAATACTCTCTAAGGGGGAAAAAAAAAAGTGCATCTTTATGCAACTGCTGCAAATAAATTCTGTTTTTAAGAACAAAAATAGTTGTCTTTACTAAGGAAAAAGTCTAACTTCCCATTTCTTAGTCAAGTAAACAAATGCAAATACAACACAACAGATATAAAATGCATCACACACTGCCTTCTCCCATATGCTGTAGGTAACTTCAATAAAGAAATCACCAAGTTAATCAAAGACCATTGCTCATTCTTCATCAATAAAGAAAAGCACATGTAATGCATGGTCTTGTATTACCGAGGTTGTTTACTCTCTTTCCAAAGACCAAAGGTTTCGTTGTTCAGAGTTTTGTTCGCTGCCTGTAGAAAGCTACCTTTACACCTTAGTAGCACTCATCACACTTAGTAAAACAAATGGTTGAAGACCACTAAAATGGGCACAGCAACTATCTTCCCTTTGAAAGGGAGAATAAACTTGTATGTTGAGGACATCCCTCTCACAACACCCCAGCTGCCCCAGAATCAAAGAAATATTACAAGCTCACACATTGGAATGGACTGGAATTTGCATCTTGAATTTTTCTTCAAGATAATGGCATTTTTGTATATTTAAAAGAACAGAAAGGAAAGAAAACAGTGTCTGGAAGAGAAGACTGCAAACTTTCTTTTATGTCTATGTTTCCCAGCATCAACCCAGCACAGGCAAAGTGTCTCATTGTCTGCACTGCACGGCACAGACACACAGGGAGAGTAATTGCTTCTCATTGCAAGAACGAGACAGTTACTGTGGACAGGTAAGATTATATTACTTTTTATTTTCAAAATTCATTATTAAATATGCAACTTAAGTGTAGTCTAATCTTTTTTCCTGCATTATTTCCTTATAGAGTACAAAGTGAAAAAAAAAAGGAAGTTTCCTGTGCTTAATATTAGCACATAAATGGAGCTAATTGACGTTTGACTTAAGTGGGAAGACAGGGTGGGGTGAATTCCCACCTTTGTTACTGTTATCACTTTGCAAAGTGTTTTTTTAAGCAAGACCAGAATAACTGGTTTACATTCTGGCAATGCATCTTCTCAGTTAAATCAAAACTTAGAATCTGAAAGCAACGCAGACTGCAGCAAAAACTGCACCATTTTCATAGAACCGTGAGGCAAGACATTTTCTTTCTTCACTGCAATTTGCTTCTTTCTTCAATGCAAACATACTACAAAAGATGCAACTGTCTTTCAAAAATTGACTTGATACCCTTTTAAATCATATTGCAAACAAAGCTGAAAGAATGTGAGTGTTCAAATTACATTCTTCCTGGTTTTCGTTAGTAATTCAGGACTTGTCTGCTCTGGAAGTTTACTGTGATGGGAGAGCTATCAAAATTACGGCATTATCAAAGACTGGAAAAGTGAGGTTACGGAAACTTTGTCAAACTGTTTCATACTTCTGT